TACCTGTAACTGTAGCAAATGTTTGTAGATGCCAATGTTGTCTGGAGAGAATGGATTCACATTTTCTGCCTTCTTCAGACAACATGTTAATAATACTACTTTTCTCCAAGAGGTCTTTTTTGGAAAGCTTTTATAAGTGTTTAAGCTATAACTGGCTTCATTATCCACTTAGAAAGATCAGCCTCTGAAAATCACAATCTTCATCCCTGTCACGACACCCACCAACAGCAATCACTTGATTAAGTTCATTTGAAAATCTCACTAAAGTTTGTTTTAACAACTGAGACTACAACTTGCAGTTGCAAACAATGATATAAGCATCTTCCTCCAGCATACTTCTGGCGATGGTCTCCAAATTATTATGATTCCATACAAGGATACCCCTAAATAGGTGAAGAGGGATGAGCTGGCTCCCCTTCCTATTTCAACTCCTCTCTACATTCCTACGTTTCAAGTAGACATTACTTTGCTATCATAATGAGATTGCCTTTTCCCACTTCAATAAGTTCATGAAGCTTTTATAGTTTTTCAGTTCCACTAGTAGAATTTTGAGCTCGTTTATTATAGCTTATGGTCTTATGGTCTAGGTTAGCAGTGATATTTAATGCAACCTGAGCAAACAGTAATACTGAACCTTTTTTTAACTGGAAGAGCTACTTGAATACTCATTGGCCAACTCAACAATATACATCTTTGAGTCCCTTCTGAATGTTGAAATAAAGTTCTTTTTCAAGCTTATCAGTGAAAAGATGATTGGGATAAGACATGTAACATGTCTGTATTCCATTTTTGCTAACCGCTTGTAACATTTGTACATTAAGACAATAACAGTTGTCACAACTCTTGATATTTGCATCATGAGAAGGTAACGTTCAAATTCACTCAAACCATTGAGACTATTAACAGCTCTGCTTGTATTGATATTTCAAAGTGAGATCTAGACAACATTCAAAGCTTAAGCCTTGCACTTGCAAGTGATTACCAAGTTATAGAACAAAGTTTTACTTGTTCATTGTTTCAGAAACTTAAAAATCCCAGAGACAGGTTAAAATGAGGCTGTACAGGCTGGAATTGAAGAAAAGGGCTTTAGTCTCACTTTAATCCAACCAGATGCACCAAGTAAATTGGAGTATATCACACTGGCAGCATTACACTAATTAAATTATCACATGCTTATGATGCTTATATTGGCACCAGTCAATGAAGCCTTGTGTTCATTTAATTGTGATGCTGATGTAGTATGCTGGTTGTGTTGTCTAACCACACTACTATTAAGTGGAGGATGGTGTTGTTCACTGCTCACACACACAAACATGCACACAAATGCACAAACACTTTTGCTTAGCTTTTGCATTTTGGACAGAGTTGCAGTGATCCAAGATTTATGATCACCCTTCCAAATTTTCCCAACATGGGGCACTGGGGACTGTAGGTAGGATTTTCTCAAACAATGTAGAATCTATCAGGGTGAAGGCAATATTACTACAGCACCAGAAAAGCTGGAGAATGATCTTCATGAATTTCCTTAAAGAGCAGGTCAACTGCATTATGCTTAATATTTCTGTTGAGATGAGGACTTTCAGTAGGTAAGTGAAGACCAGGCATTGAGAGAGGACATTACAAGACCCTCCGTGTCTATGCGAAGATGTCAGGGTCTTTGCCGTGCTTGATAAGGATCAGACCACTTGAGTGAATAACACATTCATGACAAAGAGTCACACTAAGAGAAATTCTTTCCCTCACCACCAACATATATTCTACCACATGTATGGCCGTATGGTTCAGTGACACAAATTTGTGTCAGCCCCAAGCAGGCTTTAACACAATTTCAACTGATAGTAGTGTGACTGAGTGGATTATGTAGAATTATATTTATGCATAGTTTATATGGCATGGAAACAAGCTATTGGGACCAACTAGTTCATACTGACATTTATGCTCCCCTCAAGCCTTCTCTCACTGTTTCTTATCTAAATCTATCATTGTAAACTCTATTCCCTCTCTCTGAAGTGTTTTTATACTTAAATGCGTTCATGCTATTTGTTTCCATCACTGCAGCTTCAGCACCATTCATGACTCCTCAGATAGTGAAGCAATCTGTGTCTATATGAAGCAAGACCTGAGCAACATTCAGTCTACTGTTGATAAGTGACAGGTAACATTCATACTGTACATGTTCACACTGTGAGCACATCCAACAAAAAGAACCAAACCACCTTTCCTTTACATCCTATGGTATCGTCATTGCTGAATCCCCCACCATCAATATCTTCAGCTATATTATTGATCAGAAATTGAACTGGACTGGCCCAGCCAAATAAATACAATGGTCACAAGTATAGGTCAAAGGTTGAGATTTTGTGGGGAGTAACTCGTTTTCTAACTCTCCAAAGCATGGCCACCATCGACAAGGCAGAATTCAGGAGTGTAATGGAATACTCTCTACTTACCTGCATGAGTGCAACTCCAACAACACTCAAGAAACTCGACATCATTCAGGACAAAGCAGGCACTGTAACCATTCATACCCTCCACCGCTGACACACAATGAGAGAGTTGTGTACATCTACATGATACAGTCCAACAATTCACAAAGGCTTGTTCAAAAGCAGTTACCAGACCCATGGCCTAGATGAACAAGGACAGAAAATGCATGGCAACACTACATCCTTCAATTTACCCTCCAAGCGTCCTAGCTGACTTGTGACTTCATCATCATTTCTTCACTATCCCTGGGTCAACATCCTGGAGCTCTCTCCCTCAAGGCATTGTTTGTGTAATCGAACCATGTGGATCGCAGTGGTTCAAGATGCTAATCACCACCTTATCAAAAGCTATTAGTAATGGGCAATAAATGTTCTCCTAGCCTGCACCACCCACATCCCATGAAAGTATAAAGGAAAACAAAAACACTCCATATGATAGTGAGTTCTGCATTCTCACTGTCCTTTAGGGAGAAACGTTTCTTCTGAATTTCCTATTAGATTCTTGGTGACTATATTTAATGACTTCCAGTAATGTCTTCTTTACAAGAAGCACCACATCAGCATCCACTCTATCATTATTTTAAAAACTTCTTTTAGGTCCAGAGGTCTTGTCATATTGTGGTAGCCATTTAACTTTGGGTTAGAGGTTTTGGATTCGGAGTTAACATCAGAACCTACTGGCCAAACCATTTACCAACTTGTATATCCTTCAGAAATGCCTGAGGGTGGTGGTGACAGCAGGTTAATGTTTTGTCTGCCTCTTTAGCCTGAGGTTAACATGCTTGGCTGTGCCAGCAGTCACCATCCTGTTGGTCACCTCTTTCCTGGCCTTAGGAATCTAATCTTTCCTCGTGATGTTGATGATACAATCCCAGCTTCAAAGAAAGATAACTGAGTTGTATTACTATTATGTCACCTCAACTTCATCTGGGCATTCCCATTCCTCACCTCTTCTGCTAGGTGGTCCTTCACTGATCTTTCCCTGGTTGATAGTTGGAAGAGGCATCTAAGAGGATGTGATGAAGCAACTTTATCAGTTCCAAGGATACAGAAACCAGGTCTCCCCTTTCAAGTTGCTTCTACTCATAAAACCTCTGCTGTAGATGTGACAGGCTATAGCTGTTCTAAAAACAAACCTGGTCAGTCCCTCAAAGATCCACTGTGGAATTCTTTGAACACCTATACCTCTTCCAAATATCTCCCAAGAGAATTTTCCTGCATGGATCTTCCTCAGAAATGCCACATGCTTACTGATGTTGAAGCCACTGTGTGGCATAACTAGCTGTCCTCAATCCAGTCCCCGATCGCGAAATTATTTGGTGTTTTCAGTCTGGTCCCAAATCTGTTCAACTTCCTTCTTATCAGCAAGAAAAATATTCGAATAGGAGACCGCTTCCTTCTTCTGTAGTGTTAATAGAAAGTACATTGAGAGCATCTGCTTGGGTTTGGCCTAAAGGTCCAATTTCCTCTGCCAACTCCTGAACCTCCAAAAGTCCCACTCTGAGAAACACTGCTGTTACCATCTGCGCCAGGTGCCTTTCAACCTCAGCCAGCATAACCTAATGCCTGTGCTGTGGAATCCTGCTGACTACACATTGAGAGTAATGTGAGATTTGGACACACAGAAAGCCCAAACATCCTGAAGCAGTGATTCTTAAAGCAACTGATATCAGGTCATTATAAATATGAAGGGATATTAACATTAAATAAAGAAGCATTTCTATAGAATGAAGGTGATTTTTGCATTTGGGTCAAGGAATCCTTTGTCTCTCTGTTCTTTCTTCCCATTAGCCTTTCCCCAAAGACACTTTTTTTTCAGTGAGAATATATATGCAGGTGCAGTTACAACATTTAAAAGACATTAGAATAAGAGATGTTTAGAGGGATGTGGGCTAAGCATAGGCAGGTAGGACTAGTTTAGTTTGGGATTATGGTTGGTATAGACTGGTTGGAATGAAGGGTCTGTTTCTGTGCTGTAATGACCCGATGTTCGCTGTTCCAGCTGCCTTTCCTCACCATTCCCATTTAAAGGTAAATGTCCTGGAAAATTGTCGAGCTCCCCTGGTCATGCTCCTTCATCATCTCAGCCTGCTGGTTGAGGTTCTGTTACACTACCACATTGACAAAGTTTTTTTTTCCAACATCGGTCCTAACACGACCTTCTGCAGCTATCAAATTTTCCTTGGTCATGTCTCTCTGTGAAGTGCCTTGGAGCATTTTTATTACATAGGTGCTGTGTAAATGTAAGTTGCTATGGTTTTACACTCAAAAGTATAAATTCCTGAAGGAGGATTCAAAATAACTAAATGCTAACTTCAGTTTGCTTTGTACAGAACGGTGCCCTGGCCTGCAACCAACACTCCGGTTAACTAGAAAGCAAGTGTGCTTCAGAATTTCTTCCTATACAATCTGCCATCTCGAACACTTGTGCCAAATAAGTTTCCTGACTTGGGTTCGATTATTTTAAATAGTGGATCAGCGAAAATTACAACCAGGACTCCGCCTCCAGCCGTGCTGCACTGACATAGCGAGCAGGAAACACGAAAGAAATGCTTCGGGTTTCTTCATATACAAACCGTGCTGGATGAGCCTGCCGATTAGAAAGAGAGAGCGCACTACAGTCCTCCTGACTGCAGGATCCCTGGTCAGGCGTCTCCATACCTGGCGCAAGGGCTGGAGCAGTGTACGGTCCTGAACTTCTTTTACCGACAATTCAAGAAATCCAATCGATCGGGTCAGTTGAATCAAACTTTTCATTTCTTCATGCCTGAGCTGCTGCTATTTTGCAGAACAGGACTAATCAGTGGATTATTTTGCATGATACTTGCTTCGGGATAATATTAATGCAGGTTTTAGAAAGTTTATTTTTTAGTAAGGTCATTTAAATTTTCTTTAGTCCATGCAAAAAGATATGCGGATTAATTGGTTTCTTAGACATGCAGTGCCATAGACAGACAAAGGCGAGAGACCCGGGGTCTGGCACCTCCTGCACCCCCCCCCCCCCCCACTTGAATCAGGACGCGACCATGACCCCCCCGGTAATAAGCAGGTGATTACTGCAGTGTGAGGTCTTAGAGCAAACACCCCACACCAACCCGAACGGGTTCGCTCCATAACGGGATGTTTGTGTCAAAATATTGCATGACCTGCCTCACCGAGTTTTACATTCAGATTTTACAAGTTTGTGCATTTGCAAGCCTTTTTTGTACGAACAGCCTGCGTAATTTTGTGACTTTTTCGTTTTACTGCAGACACACACACATACTAAAATAAATACTACCAGGTTTTAAAATGTAATAAAATGAAGACCCTTTACTTACCCTTCTATTTTAAATTCCTCCTTCTATCCCCTATGCTGTACTTTCACATTTTTAAATGCATCCGCTTCTAACCTGAACTTTCCTTACTTTTCATCCAGTGCCTCCCAATTTGGAAAAATAGCCTCTGACTAGTTATAAAAGTATTACCAAGATTGCCTCACAGACATAGTGATGTTTAATATTGCTGTATAGTCTCAATCAACAATGGGTGTGATTTCCGAGCCCAAAAGTCAAGATGGCAAATACAGAATGAGTTACTTGGTCTGCAGTATTTATGGTGTAATAATTTCTAGGCAGGGTAACTCAACAGTTTAGCAGTAATTGCTAGAATAATGCAATCAAAATAGTGTAGTGTAGGTACTGTGTCTCAGTTTTTTTCAATTCTTTTAGTAATGACAAAAAGCGTCCATATGTAGTTACATTGCCTCAGTTATTAAAGGGTTAACTAGGGCACAGACCACCTTGATGCTAGAATTTAATAATTCTGCATCAGTTCAAATTCGCATTACAATTTCAGCAGATCAGAATGAGATATTGCTCAAGCTCTTCATCATCACCACTTAATGCTATTTAAAGTTCTAGCAAGAAAGTAAACTAAATCAGTAAAGCGGGAGCCCCAGAGCAATATTTCTGTTGGTGTCACAGTATTATACAAGACAGTTGATAGCACAGATAAAAGAATTGCTGAGCACATGGAAGCGTGATTGAAAAAGGATTATTGCTGGTGCAGAATAAGAGCTTGAAATGATGAACAATGTAGATTTAGGCATGCATAAAAATAACTGACTGCCAGAGTGTATTAAATACTTGCAAATGTTTTTATGTGAGTTAATTGTCCTCTATGTGAGTTCAGCACTGTGTAAACACACAGCTGCCATGAAGTTCATTATATATGTCCACAGATGCTAGCCATTGTTTAGATCTCATACCATTTCTGATCAATGGGAACAATGTTTACTTATGCAGCATTGTAACATTGAGCGTACAATCACACTCTACAGCCCAGTAATAGCTGCAATACTCTGGGAAATGAGATGTTTCAAATACTTGAGCTTCAGCTTAATGGTTCTGAGAAAAGTCTTTCTTCATTGAAAACTCAGATTTGTAAAGCAATATATTTCTCTCAGAAATATCTCAAAGTATTCCATACACACCAGGTGCGATCCTGTTCTCCCAGAGATGCTGAGCTTGGAACCAAGAAGGCTTCTTATTTAGGTGAGTTGATGGAGTACCAAAATCATGGTGGCTTTCCGCCTCCACTGAAATTAACTTCAGCATGGTAAGGTCCATTATTACCAATTGATAAAAGGCAATCAGTGCTCAACTGAGAAACCGGACCCAGGAAAGGGAGATCTCACTGAGAATCACTGCCTGACCTTGCCTCTATCACTTGTGCTCCTCTTTCTCCTTGAATTCTAACCCCACATACACTCCTCTCCCTTACCTCACATTTTGGTCCTCCATAACAGTGTTCTGCTGGCAAAACCTGTGGCCTCCTTCCTTCTTGGTGCTGAGGCAGACAGGACGTCAGTCACTGATGTCTTAATTCTAGGCAATGGTCTGTCGATGGCCTTGCCAATGCCAGATTGCCTAGCCTTAAGGAGACAATGTGGGTCTCTTGCTGGCTTTTCAGTCAGTTGATGAGACCCCCCTGTATCCTCAACATGCTCAATTTTTTGTTTACAGTACATTGTTATGCTGTAGACAACAAGATTAATGACCTGAGACAACAAGGTGCAGGGCTGGATGAACACAGCAGGCCAAGCAGCATCATAGGAGCAGAGAGGCTGACGTTTCGGGCCTAGACCCTTCATCAGAAAAGGGGGAGGGGAAGGGGGTTTTGAAATAAATAGGGAGAGAGTGGGAGGCGGATAGAAGAGGGATGGAGGAGAGGATAGGTGGAGAAGAAACAAACAGGTCGAAGAGGCGGGGATGGGGCCAGGAAAGGTGAGTGTAGGTAGGGAGTTAGGAAGGGGATAGGTCAGTCCAGGGAGGACGGACAGGTCAAGGGGGCGGGATGAGGTTGGTCGGTAGGAGATGGAGGTGCGGCTTGAGGTGGGAGGAGGGGATAGGTGGGAGGAAGAACAGGTTAGGGAGGCAGGGACGAGCTGGACTGGTTTTGGGATGCGGTAGGGGGAGGGGAGATTTTGAAACTTGTGAAATCCACATTGATACCATTGGGCTGCAGGGTTCCCAAGCGGAATATGAGTTGCTGTTCCTGCAACCTTCGGGTGGCATCGTTGTGGCACTGCAGGAGGCCCAGGATGGACATGTCGTCTGAGGAATGGGAGGGGGAGTTGAAATGGTTCGCGACTGGGAGGTGCAGTTGTTTATTGCGAACCGAGCGTAGGTGTTCTGCAAAGCGGTCCCCGAGCCTCCGCTTGGTTTCCCCGATGTAGAGGAAGCCACACCGGGTACAGCGGATGCAGTATACCACATTGGCAGATGTGCAGGTGAACATCTGCTTGATGTGGAAAGTCTTCTTGGGGCCTGGGATGGGGGTGAGGGAGGAGGTATGGGGGCAGGTGTAGCACTTCCTGCGGTTGCAGGGAAAAGTGCCGGGTGTGGTGGAGCTGGAGGGGGGTGTGGAGCGGACAAGGGAGTCACGGAGAGAGTTGTCCCTCCGGAAAGCAGATAAAGGTGGGGAGGGAAAGATGTCTTTGGTGGTGGGGTCGGATTGCAGATGGCGGAAGTGTCGGAGGATGATGCGTTGGATCCGGAGGTTGGTGGGGTGGTACGTGAGGACGAGGGGGATTCTTTTTTGGTTCTTATTGCGTGGATGGGGTGTGAGGGATGAGGTGCGGGAGATGTGGGAGACACGGTTGAGGGCGTTCTCGACCACCGAGGGGGGGAAGTTACGGTCCTTGAAAAACGAGGACAACTGAGATGTACGGGAGTGGAATGCCTCATCCTGGGAGCAGATGCGGCGGAGGCGAAGGAATTGGGAATAGGGGATAGCATTTTTGCAGGAAGGTGGGTGGGAGGAGGAGTATTCTAGGTAGCTGTGGGAGTCGGTGGGCTTGAAATGAATATCGGTTTCTAGGTGGTTGCCCAATATGGAGACAGAGAGGTCCAGGAAGGGGAGAGAGGTGTTAGATTAATGACCTATTATTTTCGGTGATGATGGATGGAAAAATGCTGGCCAATATATCAAGAACCACCTAAATTTCTTTCATACAGCATCATGTTACCCTCATTTTCCTGTACAAAGATCATGGTTTAACAACTCATATATGATTTTGGAAGCTTTTAATTATTGATGAGGTCCATGCCTGTTGCCAGCACATACTGAAAATTCAACCTGACGTGGTTGACTTCTGAGTAAAAAGAGAACTGAGAATATTAGAAATCTAAAATCAAGACAATTGCAGACATACAAATTTGTATATGAATGAGGAGCAGGAATAGGCTATTCAATAAGATTATTGCTGATCCAATTGTAACCTCAAACCCACATTCTGGCTTATGGTTGATGACCTTACACCCACTTATTTAACAAGGATCTGTCTATTTTTGCCTTAAACTATTTAAGAACTCAGCTTTCAACAGCTTCTCAAGAATGGAGTTTGAAGGACTCTTGACACCCTGTGAGAGAAGATTTTACTTCAACACCATTTTAATAGAAATAGTAATTCATTGTGACATGTATTTACGAAAATACAGTAAAATGTGTATAAGTCAACATAAGCCATTTTAATTACATAAATTATAAACAGCAATAAATCATACAAAGTTCGGACAAATTTCATTTTTTGTTCCATGCACGGCTTCTTGATTTACTAAGTAGCTACTGGACACTGCCACACTCCGGCAGCTGCCAAACCATTCCCTGAGGATGCAACACCAAGGAGGAAGCAGGCCCCACTGCCACAAACTGGACCCAGAACGTCGTGTCTGCTAGAGCTGCCTCATCACTGCCCATACTCCAGCTGCAGCCATAGCCAGGAGACTGTCCCAACTCTTGAGGATCAGGGCCCATCTCAAATTCCAAGAGCCAACTGACCAATTGACTCTTGATTTTTGAAGACAGATTCCCTAGTTCCACACTCTCCCATAAGGTGAAACGTCCTCTCCACATCCTATCTGTGAACCTCCTTCAGGATTTTACATGTTTGAGTCGTCATCTGTCAGTTTTCTGAACTCCAATGGATACATACCTTATCTGCCCAATTTTTCCTTGTAGGACAACCCCAAACCCCACTCCCCCCACTACAGGAATTACTTTAGTCGACCTTTCTAAAACTGTCTGTAATACAGTTACATCCTGTAAATAAGGTAATCAGCATTCTGTACTCTGAATGTCGTCTCACCCTGTATAACTGAAGCATAGCCTTCCTATTTTTGTATAAATGATAATATTCTCTTAGCTTTCCTCATTGTTTGCTGCATTTCAACACTAACCTTGTGCAATTTATGCATGAAGACACACAGATCCCTCTGCATCTGAGTTCTGTGATCGCTCACCATTCAGATAAATGCTTTTTTCTTATTCTTGTTATCAAAAAAGTTCACAATTTCCCAATTGTATGCAATTTACCACATCTTTGCCCACTCACTTAAGCTATGGATATCTTTTTGGGCCTCCTTCTATCCTCTTTGCAACTTACTTGCCTACTGCCCTTTGAGTCATCAGCAAAATTGGTAACCATACCTTCATCTAAGTCATATATATACATACGCACTGAGAACAGTTGAGGACCCAGCAGTGATGCCTGTGGCACACCACTTGTTGCATCTTTCTAACCAGGAAAAGACACATTTATGCTTACTCTCTGCCTTTTGTTAGCCAGCCAGTCTTCTATCCATGATAATATGCCACCCCTTACACTTCTGAGTTTTTATTTTCTAGAATAACATTTGACTTGACACTGTAGCATATGCCTTCTGGAAAACTAAATACAGTGCATTCATGATTTTTAAAAAATTTGTTCATGGGGTGTGGCAAGGCTTGCATTTATTGACCTGCCTGCATCCTAGAAATGTGTCTGTACTACAGTGACACGAAAGTACAATGTAGGTGGAGGAAGAGAAATAACTGCAAGGGATTCTTAGATTGCAGTGAAATTGTTGAGAATGTAGCTCGACAAGAACAGTCACACCCAGATGGATTACAAAAGATGGTATTGGACATTCTGGTGTGGTCAACAGTACTAAACGCTGTAAACAGGTCAGCCAGAAGAGAGTTATACATAGCATTGGTGAGACCATATTTTGAATACTAGTTGCAATTTTGGTGTTCTTATTTAAGGTTGGATGTAAGTGCATTGGAGCAGTTCAGAGGAGGTTTACTAAATTGACACCTGGATTAAATCAGTTGTCTTATGTTGTTAGGTTGGACAGCTGGGCTTTTTTACATCAGAGGTTATTGAGTGAGGGGCGTCTTAGTTCAAGTGTATATGATTCTGATGGTGAGGAGAGTGAATGTTGAAAATGGTGAATAGATTGTCAATCAAGTGGGCCACTTTAGCTTGGATGATGCTTTCAGATTTGTGAGGGTTCCTTATCGCCAGACTTGGTTAAATGCTACTTTGAAGTCATGGCAATAGCCCTCACTTCACATCTGGAATTTAACTCTTATGTCCACGCTTAGATCAAGGCTGTTATGAGGTTAGGAGCTGCGTGACCTTGGTGGAATCTAACCGGAGCATCAGTGAGCACTTTATTCCTTTGCAAGTACAACTTGATGGCACTATTGTTGATCCTTTCCACCACAATGATCATAAGTTGGACAGGTTGGATTTGTCCTGCTCTTTGCACAGGGCATACCTCAGTAAATTTCCATATTGTCAGTAGATTTCACTCTTGTAGTTGTTCTAGAATAGCTTGGCAAGTTCTGGAGCACAAATTTGCAGTACTATTGCAGGAATGTTTGTAGTATCCAGTGCCTTCAGGTTTTTCTTGATACTTTCTGCAATGAATTCAGTGATTGAAGACTGAGATCAGTGATGCTGACGGCATGATGGATCATCCACTCAGCCCCTTTGGCTGAAGATGGGTGCAAGTACTTCAGCACTGAAAGGATTGACATTGTAACGAATATAGATTGCAAATATATATTGCCACGCACTAATTTAGTTGAATCAAACTTGTTTTGACAGTGCAAGTTTGCACATGTGTGTAAAAGAATGTAGCTTACCCATTAAAGGAAGAAAATGCATCGATTGAAACATCTTAATTACTTTCACTTCATCTGAATTACAACAGATAAGCCTGGATACAGAAAATGAAACCATAGAAGCAGGACTACTTAGTTATTGTTTCAGAAAGATTGCAATGCCATTTCTGGAAGAAAGTACTCTACTTGGAGACCTCTCATTAAATATACCTGTCACAATTATAGGTAAGTTCCTTCTACCTTTCTAACATAAATATTCATAGTTGTTATGAATCTGTGCACACTACTATTCAGAAGTAATTGTGTATAAAGGTGTTCTACTCAGATTCAATTCAAATTTTATTTCCCATTGCAGCTACATTGCTTAAACATTTAAAAAAGACACATACAGATGTCAAATTAACAATGAAAAAGACTAATTATATCACAAAATCTGACTGATTAAATACATGTTAAAAACAATGTTATATACAAGCAATGAGACAACAAAATATATAATGTAAAAATAACAATAACATAAAGTATAATGCTTTAAAAAAAAAATGCTCGTTCTTTTGAATTCTCAAAATCCCTAAAATTGAAGTCCTCTTTCTATAAAAACACGAATAAATATATATAGGATGGGATGACTTTTAATTTGCTATGCAATAGTTCAGCACCATCACTGTTGCTGCATAACAGCCTTCAGCTTGATAGTCAGTTGGAATATCTGATTTTGATAGCTACCATATTGAGGACATCGAACCATACACCACTTATAGAACATAGAACATAGAACAGTACAGCACAGTACAGTCCCTTCGGCCCATGATGTTGTGCCGAACTTTCACCCTAATCCTAAGGTCTGTCTAACCTCCACCTCTACCTTATACTATCATCCATTTGTCTATCTAATAGCCGCTTAAATGCCCCTAATGAGGCCGACTCCACTACCCGCTCCGGCAATGCATTCCACGCCCCGACCATTCTCTGAGTAAAGAACCTACCTCTGATGTCTCCCCTATATCTACCTCCACTCACTTTAAAACTATGCCCCCTCGTAATAGCTACCTCCACCCTAGGAAAAAGTCTCTGGCTGTCTATCTATATCACTGATCATTTTGTACACCTCTATCAAGTCACCTCTCATCCTTCTTCGTTCTAAAGAGAAAAGCCATAGATCTCGCAACCTTTCCTTGTAAGACCTTCCCTCCATTCCAGGCAACATCCTGGTAAATCTCCTCCGCACCTTTTCCAATGCTTCCACATCTTTCCTGTAATGAGGTGACCAGAACTGGACACAATATCCAGATGTGGCCGAACCAGGCTTTTGTATAGCTGGAGCATAGCTTCACGGCTCTTGAACTCAATCCCTGAATTAATGAAAGCTAACACACCATACACGCCTTCTTAACAACTCTATCCACCTGGGTGGCAACTTTCAGGGAACTGTGGACATGAACCCCAAGATCCCTCTGCTCCTCCACACTGCCAAGAATCTTTCCGTTAACGCTGTATTCTGCTTTCAAGTTTTTCCTTCCAAAATGAATTGCCTCACACTTTTCAGGGTTAAACTCCATCTGCCACTTTTCAGCCCAGCTCTGCATCCTATCAATGTCCCTTTGTAACCTAGAACAGCCCTCTGCATTGTCCACAACACGACCCACCTTCATATCATCTGCGAACTTACTAATCCACCCTTCCACTCCTTCATCCAAATCATGTACAAAAATCACAAATAGAAGAGGACCCAGAACAGATCCTTGTGGTACACCACTCGTAACTGAGCACCATGTTGAATATTTTCCATTCACTACCACCCTTTGTCTTCTAAGGGCCAGCCAATTCTGAATCCAATCTGCCACATTTCCTCCTATCCCATGCCTCCTTACCTTCTGCATGAGCCTACCATGGGGAACCTAATCAAACGCCTTAGTTAAATCCATGTATACCACATCCACTGCTCTACCTTCATCCACGTGTTTGGTCACCTCTTCAAAGAACTCAATAAGGTTTGTGAGGCATGATCTATCCCTCACAAATCCATGCTGACTATCACTAATCAAACTGTGCCTTTCCAAGTGATCATAAATCCTATCTCTCAGAGCCCTTTCCAATAATTTGCCCACCACTGATGTAAGACTAACTGGCCTGTAATTTCCGGGGTTATCCTTATTCCCTTTTTTGAACAAGGGAATGACGTTTGCCTCTCTCCAATCTTCCGGCATTATACCTGTGGACAGTGAGGACGAAAAGATCATCGCCAAAGGTCCTGCGATCTCTTCCCTCGCTTCCCATAGAATCCTTGGATAAATCCCATCAGGATAAATCCCTATCTTCAACTTCCTCAAAATTCCTTGCACATTTTCCTTACTAACAGCAACCTCCTCTAGCCTACCAGCCTGTTTCACACTGTCCTCCTCTACAACTAGATCCCTCTCAGTTGTGAATACCGAAGAAAAGTAATCATTAAGGACCTCTCCTGTCTCTTTCAGCTCTGAGCACGAATTCCCTTTACAATCCTTGATCGGCCCTACCCTTTCTCGGGTTATTATCTTATTCCTTACGTATGTGTAAACAGCCTTGGAGTTTTCCTTGATCCTATCTGCCAAGGTTTTCTCATGCCCCCTTATAGCTCTCCTAAGCCCTTTCTTCAGCTCCTTCCTGGATAACTTGTATCCCTCTGGAGCCTTTTCTGTTCCTTGTTTCCTAAACCTTACATAAGCATCCTTCTTCCTCTTAACCAGTCGTTCGACCTCTCTTGAGAACCAAGGCTCCCTCACTTGACCGCATCTTCCCTGCCTGCTAGGGACAAACATTTAGAGCACACGCAGTATGCATTCCTTAAACAATCTCCACTTTTCAATAGTGCGCTTCCCTGACAGCATCTGTTCCCATTTTATGTTACCCAGTTCTTGCCTAACAGAATTGTAATTACCCTTCCCACAATTATAAACCCTATCCTGCTGTATGTACTTATCCTTTTCCATGACTGTTGTAAAAGTAACAGAGATATGATTGCTATCGCCAAAATGCTCTCCTACCAACAGGTCTAACACTTGGCCCGGTTCATTGCCAAGCACCAAATCCAAAGTGGCCTCTCCTCGTGTTGGTCTATCTACACACTGTGTCAAGAATCCTTCCTGAATGCATTGGACAAAATCCTCTCCATCTAAACTATTACAACTAAAAAGTTTCCAATCAATATTTGAAAAGTTGAAGTCACCCATGACTACAACCCTGTGACTTCTGCACCTTTCCAGTATCTGCCTCCCAATCCGCTCCTCCACTTCTCTGCAACTATTAGGGGGTCTGTAGAAAACCCCCAACAAAGTGACTGCTCCTTCGTTATTTCGGACCTCAACCCAAACTGACTCTGTAGACATATCATTCTCGAACTGCCTTTCAGTAGCTGCTATACTAGCCCTGACTAGCAACGCCACTCCCCCACCTCTTTTACCACCCTCCCTATTTCTTTTAAAGCATCTAAATCCCACAACTTCCAACAACCATTCCTGTCCCTGAGTTATCCAAGTTTCTGTAATGGCCACAACATCGTAGTTCCAAGTACTGACCCATGCTCTAAGTTCATCCGCCTTATTTCCGATACTTCTAGCATTGAAGAATACACACCTCAAACCATCTCTGTGTCCACAATTACGCTCCATCGACCACATTTCTTTATTAACAACCTCACTCCCTGTTGTGTCTGTTGGAAGGCTGAATACCTCATCCTCTGAATTACAAATCCGGTTCCCTACTCCCTGCCAATTTAGTTTAAAACATTCTGTATAGCTCGAGCAAACCTCCCTCCCAGGATATCCCTGACAGCATCTGTTCCCGTTTTATGTTACCCAGTTCTTGCCTAACAGAATTGTAATTATCCTTCCCCCAATTATAAACCTTATCCTGCTGTATGTACCTATCCTTTTCCATGACTATTGTAAAAGTAACAGAGTTATGATTGCTATCGCCAAAATGCTCTCCTACCAACAGGTCTAACACTTGGCCCGGTTCATTGCCAAGCACCAAATCCAAAGTGGCCTCTCCTTGTGTTGGTTCAGATGGAACCCGTCCTTACTGTACAGGTCCCACCTTCCCCAGAATGTGCTCCAATTATCCACATAATGGAAGCCCTCCCTCCTACACCAGCCCTGTAGCCACATGTTTAGCTGCACTCTGTCCCTGTTTGTTACCTTGTTATCACTTGTTCTGCTATGGCTGCAGCAGTTCTTTTCCCCAAGTGTGAAGAATCACCAAGTTATGTATCATATTGCTATTTGTGGGATCTTGCTGTGTGCAGAATGTCTCTGTATCTTGCCACATCAGTAACTAATTATAAAGTAATTCTTCAGCTGTGACTCCAAGTAAGTATAAATGGAGTGTCTAAAAGGTGATATCAAAGTGCGCATTCTTATTTATCAGCTTTTGTTGAGTGCTGACAGTTTAACTTTTAAATCAGAACAGAATCTACTTCCAGTCAGATTCTAGAAACATGAGCAGCTGTGTCACAGGGAAAATTATACTGTTAAAAGATGCTCTCCTTCAGATGAAATGCTAAATAGAAGCCCTGTCTGTCATCTCAGGTGGGAGATAAACATCCCAATTGAAAGAAGAACAGGAATGTTGTTGTTAGGATATGATGGCTAAATTGGCTGTAGCATTATTTCAAGTATAACATTTCAAAATTACTTAACTGTAAAGTTCATTTGAATGACCCAAGGTGCTGAGGTGTCAATTTTGTTGTATTGCTTTAAAATGTGGGAGAATGAGTTAACTGTTCTCTTCTGTAGATGCATAACATATTTTCATTATTATTTGAGAACCTTGGTTCTAAGCTGGAGAACACAAGTTTTAGTTTTTCAGTTCTATGAAGATCTGACCTGTTTATTTTTTGAAGTTACAAAGTCATTTTGAACATTGACTTCAATGAAGAATTTACAAGAAATCATGTGATTTCAACTAAATGACCAACAAGCCACCTGGGGAGATGATTGCTAAGGCTTTTGCTGACTTCAGACAGAGAGGAGCCAGTAGCAGGCAGAGACAGGGAAGAGGTCCACAACAGCACCTGTGCTGTTATTAGCAGCCTTGAAGCAGTTAGGGGTTGGGAGAAGTTCTGCAGAGCTTAAAATTCAGTCAGAAGTAAGCTCCAGAAACAGATCCTGTGCATATGTTAGAGAAGGAGACATACTATAAGGCAGTTGAAGACATGAGTTTAGGAAATCCTGTGTGAAATAATAGAGTTTTTACAGCTTGAAAAGAGGCTCTTCAGCCTATCGAGTCTATACTAGTCATTAAACAGCTGCCTGTTCTAATCTCATTTTCCAGCTCTTGCTCCATAGCCTTGTATACTATGGCATTTTGAGTGCTCTTCTAAATAGTACTTAACAGTGGGTTCCTGCTTCTACCATCCTTTAGTGAATTCCACATACTCATAACCCTCTGGATGAAACAAATCTTTCCTCAAATCTCCTCAAAACCTTCTTCTCTGTACTTTAAAACTGTAACCCTACTCCTAAGGGGAAAGGTTTCAACCTAACCACCCTGTCTCTGCCCCTTAGAACTTTGTACAACTCAACCACCTCCATGCCCTCTCCACCTTCTCTGCTCTAAGGTAAATAATCCCAGTCTATCTACTCTCTCTTCGTAGCTGAGTCACTCCAGCTCAGGCAACATCCTGATGAATCTCTTCTGCTCCATATTTAATATATTCACATCCTAGCTATAGTGTGGTGTCCTGAACTGCACTCAGTACTCCAGCTGTGGCCTAACTAACATTCTATATACAACTCCCTTATAACTTCCTTGCTGTTGTATTCAAGACTTCTGCAATACTACCATCAGCTTGAAGAGAAAAAGCTCTATTGTTGTTGCTTTTAACAATCAGTTATTTATAAACTTACCATATAGGTTATACCATAAACCATTCACTATTAGAATCCTTATTCTATCAATTTTCAATCTCTTAGATCCTGTGAGAATTTGTGCCCTACTGGAGAAACAACGGAAAACTTATTATGTTTTTCTCACGTTAATTGAATAACGTAAAAATTGTGACAGTGGCTTCTGTCAGGCCCTCTCGGTATTGCTACACTACCAGATTTTGCAGGGGATAATTTTAATGCAAATTGACCTGCTGAAAAATGATAAGATTGAAACAGTTTCTTCTTTTAGATAGTGTCTGTTTTTAATTTTCATTTCTATCAATGGAAATTAAGATCAGTTCGGATGTATAGTAGATGTTTGATCTGAACTAGTTAGTTTCCTGCAGGATGGTTTGGGTATAGGAAACAGGAAACTATAAATTTTATATAAGCATCAACTATAGTGATATGGATCTCTGCAAGGATAATATGGAAATCATATATGCAAATTATTTATAAAGGTTCCATCAGGTCATTTTGATTTGGTTTGATACATTAGTCTAAATATTGACTTCAACTAAAATAAAAGTTAGGTGAGATGCATAACAAGTTATGTAGGCCAGGACATCTCTGTAGGAGTTCCTCAGGGTATTGTCTTAGGCTGAACCATTTTTGATTGTTTTGTGAATGACTTTTCTTCCAACGTAAGGTCAGAAGTGGGGACGTTTGCTGATCATTACATGACTTTCACATTCACAATTCCTCAAATACTGAAGAAGTCCATTTCCACATACAGCAAGATGTGGACAATATCCATGTTTGGGCTGACAAATGCAAGTTATATTTGTGACATACAAGTGCCAGACAATGACCATCTCCAACAAGAGATTCTAACCATTTCTGTTTGACATTCAATGCAATTACCATCGCTGAATCCTCCACTAGAAACAAGCAGAGGGCTGAGAGGGGGAGGAGTGTTTACCATTGATCAAAAATTAGAGGTTAGATGTTAGGAATTTTGCAGCTAGTAACTGACCTTCTGATTCCCCAAAGCCAACAAGGCACAAGTTGGGAGTATGATGGAATACTCCTCACTTGCCTGGATGAGTGCAGCTCTAACAACACTCAAGAAGCTTGATACCATTCAAGACAAAGCAGCCTGCTTGATTGGTTTGGTGAGGAGGCAGTAGTGTAGAGGTAAAATCACTGTTTAAATAATTCAAAACCCCAGACCAATATCATCAGTTCAAATCCCATCATTGCAGATGGTGAAATTTGAATTTAATAAAATCAGGAATAGCGAGCTGAACTAATGCTCCCCATATAAACCTATATCAATTGTTGTATGAACTCATCTGGTTTGCTAATGTACTGTAGGGAAGGGGAACAGCTATCCTAACCTGGTGTGGCCTACATTTGACTCCAGATTCACAGCAATGTGGATGACTCTTAACTGCCCTCCCTACAATTAGGGATGAGCAATAAATGCTGGCCTAGCCAGAGACATCAATTCCTGTGTACAAATCAAACAAAACTTTTAAACAATGCACAACCTTGACGCAGCCTCACATTCAATATTATGGCCAATCGAGGGACACATTTTATTTAAAATGGTGTAAATTGTTTGACTGAAAATATCTTTGGAAATCAGTTGATCTTGCATTCAAAGCTTGTCAGCTGTTGCCTTCACAAATTAAGGGTAAACTACATTTTGTAGAATCCCTACAGTGTGGAAGCAGGCCATTCAGGTCCACAGTGACCCTCCAAAGAGCATCCCACTCAGACCCACCCCCTATTCTATCCTTGCATTTCCCATCCTAGACACTATGGGCGATTTAGCAGAGCCAAATCCAACTCACCTACACATCGTTGGACTGGAAGAGGAAACCAGAGCACCCTGAGGAAATCCACGTAGACACAGAGAGAATATGCAAACACCACGCAGACAGTCGCCCAAGGCTAGACTTGAACCCAGGTCCCTGGTGCTGTGAGGCAGCAGTGCTAGCCACTGAGTCACCATGCCACCCAATTTGTATGAGTAGCCTGGCCTGGATTAGTATTTATTTTAAATAGATGAATCCTTGATTATATAGAAAGTTTAATTGTTTTTACAGTTAAACCACAAACAAGTTCTTTTGCATTTATATTCTTGTTGTTGATCTAATTTAAGATTTTGAACAATTAAAAGTTATTTGAAGATGTCAATCTGGAAAGTCTTTTGGGGTTATTTTAAATTAACCTACTTGGCACGAAAACTGTCATGTTTCACATTTTACACAATTTTACATTCTGTTAACTTTGATGCAGAGTAAAATCATAAGGCATTAAATATGTGGCTTAGCCACACTGATCACCTACAAACTATTGGGTGGGTTAAATTAATCTGGTTTCATTTTTTCTTAAACTTGTCTTTAGAAACATTATATCTACATAACAATGTTACTAAAATCATTAATCCAGGAAATGGTCCTTCTGGAATATGTCTTTCCTATCTGCTCTCTGGATATAGGCCATACATGGCACCAGGAGCTGTCCATCCAAATCCAATCCTTCATGGCAAGCTGGAAGAAGGAAGGCATCTTTCTGTTGTAGATCAGGTCAGTGTGATGTCAGCATTTTGTGCATTTGTACATTAAATTGCATTTCTGTTTAGTTTAGTTCTCTTAAGTCTACTGGAATTGTGATAATAACATTGAGCTAGTAACCCAGAACCTCAGACTAATGTTCTGGGGGCACGGGTTTGTATTCCACCATGGCAGATGGTTACGTTTGAATTCAATAAAATACTGGAATTAAAAGCTAGCCTTATGGTCACCATATAACTATTGTTGATTGTCATAAAAACCCATTTGTTTCACTGATGTTACTTAGTGAAGGAAATCTGCCATCCTTACCTGGTCTGGCCTACATATGAGTCCAGAACCACAGCAATGTGGTTCACTCTTAGGGATGAGCAATAAATGCTGGCCAACCAGTGATGCCCTCATCCCAAATATGAGAAAAACATTGGTTTTAATTTAAGGAGCATTTCAAATGGAACTACAAGGCCGAATGTGACCCCCTTCCTGAATTGTAGAGGTATGGAACTCCCTGAGCTTGACCACACCAAGTGACTGACTGACAGTGTCCAATCCCAAGCCCAAGTCCTTGGATTGACAGTGGTGTCTGCCCTTAACTTACAATGCTGGAACCCAGGACTGAAGAATGTCTACCTAGACTTGACTGAGGACTACTCCCCTCAGATGTTGAGATGTGGCTGCATGCTTGAAGCATGTACAATGTGTTGGCAGTACATGGCTGGCACATGGTGCAGTTATAACACTGACGTTACATGATGCCATAGAGCAACAATTACCAATTTCAAGGGCAACTAGTGATGGCCAATAAATGTTGGCCCATCTAACAATGCTTACATCCCATGAATGAATAAGAAACATTAACCTTGATATGGAGTGAGAGAAGACTAGTTATCACTGGTTATATTTCTTGGTCCTGGCCATAAATTGATTAGCAGAGACTTTAATATTCGACAAAGGAGAAGTTATGAGGAGAATGTGGCAGAGTATATTATGAATAATTGTATAAGAATAAATAACAACATGCCATTATCTCAGGGCTCTTACTAATGATTAATGTCACATTCCCTCTTACAGGATCTGGGATATTTATCTGAAGGTCTTGAAGGCAGGTCATCCAACCCTGTGGCCCTTCTCTTCGATACCCTTCTTCACCCTGATGCAGACATTAGGTTTGACCATCCATCAGTCCTACAGTGGAAGCTAGAAAAACACAAGTGCATTCCTCATTTGGTGCTGGGGAGAGGTCTGCCTGGTGGTGCATGGCATGTTAGTATCTTATTTCCTGTGCAACATAATATGTTATGGAAATTGAATGATGATTATATACCCTAATGAGAGTGGAAGATAATTGCTTAGGTTACAATGGGAATATAGCGAATGAGTAGATTTTATAAGTTAGCATTCCTCGCACAGAAGTTCACACAAAAGTTTTGTGATAATTTGATTACTGTTTTATTATTTATTTGATCTCATGCATTTTTTTAAACATTAGTGCTATCTGGACTATGGTCGCTCATATGGTCTCCCAGTAAAAATAACCTATTGCCTGTTTTTAGGTAATGAAAAGATCCATGCTGACAATTAGCTTAGACAACTGGATGGAGTTACCTGGACTGAAATTGAAAGATTGGACCAACAGTAAATGGAGGTAAAATAAAGCACAGATCTGCGAATGCTGGAAATCTGAAACAAAAACAGAAATTGCTCGAGAAACTCAGCAGGTCTGGCAGCATCTGTACAGAGAAAACAGGGTTAATGTTTCATATCCAGAGTTCTGAAGAAGGATCACTGGCCTCGAACCATTAACTCTGTTTTCCCTCCACAGATGCTGCCGGTAAATAGAGGTATCTGGTGGAGATAAATCCGAAATAGGAAGTGAAAGCTTTGTCAACTGTTAAAAACTGCACATTGCTAGACAACAGGTTTTAAGCTTTTTCAGAAATCTGAATTCCTTAATTGACTGCTGCATATTCCTTCTCATGAGACACGTGAGTACAAAGAGAAAGCGATTTCAAACCTGAAAAGTTTAAACCTGATGGAACATACATTTTACTTTGAAGCATTAAGTTAGAAAGAATTTTACATATGTGGATTTTCCTGATGGTCTACATTATCAGTCGGAAGCTAGTGCTTTGAATATTTCATAAATGGAATGGACATTGTAATTAGGAAAGCCTTCCAGTCATATTGAGAATTAAATTGTTACAATTAAGGGTGGATAAATATGCATTGGAAAGGCTTGCTGGCATTAGTGAAGACTTAGGTCATGGAGGTTGGTATTTAAGCACCTGGAGAATATTTTATCGGGCCTTGGGTATGCTGTTTCATTAACTGAAAGCTTGAGTGGCGTTGTGATAGGAATTATATTCCCTTTTCTTGTCTTGGCTGCTTGAGTAAACTTCAGAATAGGTTGAAGTCAGGGCTTTGTAGTTTTGGACAAAGTGCTGATGATTTATCAGTTGATGCAGACAATTTGCAGTTTGAATCAGAACCTGGATATTAACTGTCCATATTGGAGAATATCCAAGTTATTATTTTTGCAAAAATGATTTTGCTTATTTTGTGCTTGGGAAACGTATGGGCAAAGTAAGAAAGATGGATGAATCTAGCTATTTTCAACCTTCTTTACATTGCCCCACGATTTTGGAAACTTTCTGGAGGGGTGAAGAACTAAGCTTTGGCTTCAGTAGGCACAGGCCAAAAACATAAAGATTAATGACCTCTGAGCCATTTAATTTGCCTATGAGGCACCCAGATATGGGGACACCCAACATTAGTTTCTTCAGGTTTGCACCTGGAACCTCCCTTAGGCTGGCAATTAACCAAAGACAACCCCAATAGGTAAGCTTTAATTGTTTCTCTTAACCAAATGGACTTTTGAGAGTTTGAGGCTTCCATTTGCTGCTTTGCTTCCGTGCTTTCAGTTCATTTGAATTCGGCCTTCCTTTTGCCTGTTGGGCTGCTATGTTAAAGACCAGAGTATGTAATGCTGGCATTAGCCTGGCTAGATGCAGTTTGCATTATGTGTAACCTTTCTGTTCTTCAGAAGGGCTGAAGGAGAAGGTCCATTATACCAATCCCTATGGAGCCCATGCTTCCTAGTCCAGCACCTGTTAAATTTTCTGAGCACTATAAATTCCAGAAATTCAAATGTGTAAAAGGACAATCCCATGATAAAGTAGTCCCCTCAATTGTTATCTAGTGACTTTAGCAAGTTGTTCTCCATACAGATGGCACAAAGGGAAATAGAGAGAAACTATTCTCATTTACAGAAGGTGGAGAACCAGGGGACGGAGATTGAAAGTGTTCAACAAGACAACCAACAGCACAAGAGAAAAATCTATTTTTCTGCACTGAGTAGTTGCATCTTAAAGGCACTGCCTGAAAAGTTAGTCTAAGCTGATTCAATCATGGCTTTGAATTCCCTCGGAACTCCTAAATACCTCATGCAGACAGGGAGCACAGGCTTGTCTGGCTGAATGGCCTCCTTTCTGTGCTGGAATCATCCTGCAACTCCATTCTTCTGTGGCAACAGACACTCCAACATTCCTTGAGAATGAGATGTTGGACCAAAAGTTTGCTTGTCCTGATTCTGTGGATTGAGGTATCACGTTTTTATAACCTCCCCCTCGCCAGTTATGAAGCTTACAAATACAAAACAAAATTCTGCCTTTTGTGTTTCTGCCAACACTCTGCAAGAACAATTCATCTAGTTCTGCACCCCACTCACCGCCCTACCTTCCCTCCTTGTCCTTTGTCTTTGTATCTCTTTTGGTGATTACCCAATTCTGTCTTGACAGCTGCAGTCAAAAATGCCTCTACTATATCCTTAGGCAGTGCATTCCAGATTTTAATCACTGTGTTAAAAATACTTTCTTCAATCTCCATTGCTACTTTTGCCAATCACCATTAAATCGGCACCATCTGGGTCTTAACACATCCACTGCTGGAGAGACTTTTGCTTTGTTTAGACTCTCTGTGGTTTTGAACAATTCTATCAAATCTCCTTTGAACTTATCATTTCTGGAGAAGCTGGGATTGTTCTTCTTAGTCTAACCATTTAACCGATGGCTGCAATCCATGGAACCGTTCTTATAAATCTTTTCTGCATTCTTTCTAAAGCCTTTAGATCCTACCTCAAATACAGTCACACTCTGGTTGAGGCCAAAACAGTGATTTAGAAAAAAAATCATTGCTCATGCAGACAACCGTCCTGTAGGATGATTTAACATGAGGAGGCTGTGGTGCTGCAGCTATAACATGGTCCCAGCTGAACAGGAATCTCTCAGCATTGACCACATGGGAAGGATTTACAAACTAATTATCAACCAATATTCTCAGAAGAAAAAATCACTTCAACTAGAAAATAAGACATATTGACAGACTGGTCTGACATTTTTTTTAAATTCATTTGTGGGATATGGACTTTGCTGATGAGGCTAGCATTTATTTTCCATCCCTAACTGTCTTATAGTGCATGCTGCGGCATTGTGTGCAGTTAGTGGATAGTGCATGTTTGTTGATGTGATCCCAGTAAAGTCCAATTTTCTGATCTGCTCCCATGTTTGTGCAAATTTTTTTTAAAAATTCATACAAGGTTTATGGTCTTTGCTGGGTAGTCCAGCATTTCTTGCTGTCCTTAATTTTCCTTGTGAAAATGGTGGTGAGCTGCCACCTTGAACTGCTGCAGTCCATTTGGTCTAGGTACACCCACAATGGAGTTCCAGTATTTTTGACCCAGTGATCCTAAGGAAACAGCGATACATTTCCAAGTTTGAATGGGAGTGGCTTGGAGAGGAACTTAGAGGTGCTGGTGTTCCCATGTATCTGCTGCCCTTGTCCTTCTAGATGGACATGCTTATGGGTTTGGAAGGTTCTGTCAAAGGAGCCTTGGTGAATTTCTGCAGTGCATCTTGCAGATGGTTCACACTGCTGCCATTGAGTGTTGCGAGTGAGTGTTTGCGGATATGGTGCCAATCAAGTTAGCCTCTTAGTCTTGGATGGGGCCAAGATTCTTGTGTATTGAAGCTGCACTTATCCGGGCAAGTAAGGAGTACTCCATCACACTCCTGACTTGTGTCTTGCAGATGGTGGACAGACATTGCGGAATCAGGAGGTGAATTACTCACTGCTGAATTCCTAGCCTATGACCTGTTCCTGTACACACAGTATTTATATAGCTGATTCAGTTCAGTTTCTAGTCAATGGTAACCTAAGCATACTGATCATTGGGAATACAGTGATGATAATCCCATTAAATGTCAAAGGATGATGGTTAGATTTTCTCTTGGTGGATATGGTCTTTGTAATGACATCTATGTGGTAAATGTTACTTGCCACTTATGAGCCCAAACCTGCAAGTTGTCCAAATCTTGTTGTATTTAGACATGGATTGCTTTAGTATCTGAGGTTTAGAGAATTATGCTGAACATTGTGTTCATAGTCACCAGTGAACATTCCCATTTCCGACCTTATGATTGTGGGAAGAGATGAAGCAGCTAGAGATTGTTGGGTCTAGGGCACTAACCTGAGGAATTCCTGTATATATTGTGCTGGAGATGAGATGACTGACCTTCAACAATACACTCATTTTCCTTGTGCTAGTCATGACTCCAATCAGTGGAGAGTTTTCCCTTGACTTCCATTGACTCCAGTTTTTTTTTCCAGGGTTGTTGCCGCACTTGGTTACATTTGGCTTTGATATTAAGGCAGTCACTCTCATTTCTCCACCATCTTGTATAATTCAAAATGGAGGATCGGTATGACCATCTGTTCATTTGCTTGTATTACTGTGTGTTTTTTAAAGTAGTTTTCCTTCGGTCATAAACACCTTTGTGGCCATCAAGTCCTGAAATGGGAATTGAACCCACAGTCTGTGATGAAGAGTTAGGAATGCTACCACTGTGCTAACAGACCTTCTGCAAAGATTCATCGTTTTGTATCATTGTATTTCTTCACTTGTAAAGACCTGTACTGTTTTAATCTTTTTTTCCTTAATTTACTCTGCTGTCTTTAATGTCTTGTACAGGCCATGATCTCAGTAGGGACCAATACATTTTTGAAAAGAAAATGAAAATCCCAAACTAGGATAATTTACAAAAAGAATGAAGTCAGAAGATTAGAGATAACAAGGTGTAGAGCTGGATGAACGCAGCAGGCCAAGCAGCATCAGAGGAGCAGGAAAGCTGATGTTTTGGGCCTAGACCCTTCTTCAGAAATGTCAGAAGATTACATAGTTTAAAACTAGAAGAACTTTTACCATTCAAATACCATCTATTTAGTAAAATGGATCTTGCATATTGCTGAAGGAAAACACATATTGTCAAAGCTTTTTGTCTTAACAACCCTTACTGAATTTTTTGAAGTAACTGAGTAGTGGGCAAGGCAATGTCTGTGGATGTTGTTTATATGGACTACCAGAAGGCATTTGATAAAGTCTCACATAAGAATTAAGGTAGAGGTCCAGGCAATTGAGAGCAAATTATGACATGCTGGGAAATTGACTGAACGGCAGATGACAGAAAGTAGGAATAATAGGGAGGTACTCAGATTGGCAGGATGTGACAAGTGATATCCCACAAGAATCTATATTAGGGCATGAATTATTCACATTGTTTATTAACAACTTGGATAATGGCATAGAAATAC